TATATATGTGTGTGTGTGTGTGTGTGTGTGTGTGTGTGTGTGTGTGTGTGTGTGTGTGTGTGTGTGTGTGTGTGTGTGTGTATACATATATATATTTACATTTACATAAATATATTATTTTATATAATATATATATTACATAATATATTAATATATTATTTACATTTACATTTACACAAATATATTATTTTAATTCAAGTGTTATTTCTTTAATTTGTGTTTGTAGAATTATAAACGTGCGCGATTTGGGATCCATTTTTTCTTTCTTGTTGGGAATCTTTTTGTCTCTAGAATGTCGAGCAATTTAACCGATGCGTCATGCAAGGAGTCGCAAATGATACAATAAAATGAGATGTTTTGATTGGTCAATTTAACGCAAACGGATGACGCGATGCGTGACTCAGTAAGAATTCACCTTAAGCCTGGATGTAGACACTAGCGCTTTGACACAAGTGCTGATTGGTGAAAAATGAGTAATGAGGATAAAACGGCGAATGAATCTTTACTATTTACCCCCATTATCTGTTTTTCATCAATCAGCGCTTAGTATCAAGGCGCCGGTGTTTGCATGAGGATCCAACCTAAGAACTCGTGACTGCTATTTGAGTTTTCTGGTCCTGATCAAACTTGTTTCTACTCTATTGATTCCTTTCTATCTATGATCAAACAGGTCGTGCAAACGTGGTCTGGTTAGTTCACATCTAATGCATAAAAAATAATACGAAGAATACAAAATGGTAAGAAATTTTGTGTTTTTTTGCATGCGAACATATGTCACGATTTTTCCACTACGATTTTTGTTGTTAATTTGATACTCGCGTGCTCAATTTCATCATGAAAAGTCAGGATCTATGCTATTAACTTGTATGACCTCGGTAAACGTATTTGCAAACGTCTTCCCAAATGATCTTTTAGATTATTTTAATGTATCATTTTTCGGTAACAGCCACGATAATTTTTCATTTCAGTAATATTTACAAGAAAACGCATTTATGTAGTATTTGTCGTGTAGTACCCATCATTCCTCGACAGCATGTACACGTGTTAGAATGGCATATCCGGTACAATCCGCCATTGCAACTGATTCCGCGTATGGAATACGAATAATACCAGATGTTAGGATTGTCGAATAATAAGCCGATATAAGTTGAATTATTATGAATGAGCGTAATTTTAGAAAAGACTAATGATATACCTAAACGAAAGTGACTTACATTTGTAATCATAGCTATCAACATTTATAACATTGTTATATAGTATTGCAAACATTGAAAAAAAATTTCTCTTGTGTTTAATTTTAAATGTTTTTAGGTTTTTAGGTTGAAAAATTAAACTATCTTTTTCTTTATGTTGGGAAATGTTATATATAGAATAGTCAAATTTATTTTTCATTTTTTCTTTTAAATAAATCTTTTATATGAAATGAATTTCTGAAAAAAATTTTTTCTTGATAAAACGAAATCAATTTTATAATCACAAGTTAGATTTGAAGTTAGATTTATTTCTTTTAATTAATATCAATTAGAATATTAATAACAGAATCATGAACCTTTCAGGATATAATAGTAAAGGAGTATATAAATTTAATACATAGTTATATATAGTTACATGTGAATCAAGTTAATTTATAATGATCTGTGCTGTTTTATTAAATAATTGTTTTATTAATTCACACAATAACAAATAAAATGGAACATTTTAAGCTTAATTATAGATTAACAATAATAAAAAGTTAAGGTCATAGATCAAGCAGATTGACAATATACGTGTTTATAAACTATTGGAAAATAAATCAGATGAAAAAAAATAATGGTTTCAGGCTATATAGAGTCTTTTTCAGCAGAATTAATAATCGATCATATAAATTATATGAAATTATTAATTGTAAAAAACATATGTATCCTTAAAAATACAAAATTCGATTGGAGATCATATGAATACACATATGAATTATAAGGAGACCACATTTAGATCAAAATTGATACATTGCAAATATAAAATTATAAATAAATAACAGTTTTGTCCTAAAATAATGAAATAATTGAGTTAATAGTCTGAATAAAAAGTAGATGATTGATATATGAACTTTCTAATAAGAAATGTGATCGCTTTCTCATTTGAATTTATTTTTTATTTTTACTGTTGAACGAGGAATGGTTTCATGTAAATTTAAACTACATGTTTGGATTCTATGTTTCTTATTGAAAAGTTATTTATAAATCTTATGCAAATAGCGAATTGCAAATTGTACATAGTCTAGTATACAGAATATCCTATTTTAAATGATGAATATCAGATATTTCTTAAACAATATATTTTAAAGAAAAATGTTTTACGTAAAAGTTATAGAATTTCAAATAATTTTCTACATGATTACAATATTGTTTCATTCATGGATGGCGCTATTATGAAGATCTTTTATGATTGTCGTCTTTTAAAATGAATATATATATTTATATATTTTTTACATAATATGATTTCTTTAATCATTTTAGATAAAAAGTATTAAGGTACAAATGTGAAGAAGTTGATAGTTTATGAGATATTTTATATTCTGGCATATTCTAACACACACACACACACAAAACAAAATATTTCTTAAGGATTCTGATTACTCAGCTAAGAACTCTGCTTTGGTGATAGCGACACAGCATCACGGAAAAATTAGAGTTATTCATTGTTCATCTTATTTTTGTTCTTGAGGCCTGTTCTTTTTGATTGAACTGGTTGTATTAATTCACAGTTTATCTTTCTTACACTGGAAGAAGAAAGCTAAACTCTGAATTAGTGCAGCTAGTTCAGCTAAAAAAAACAGGCCTTTAGTTATTTTTATATTAAGTGACGTGTTGACAACGAAATTGTTTATTGCACCTAATTTCATTATTATGTGCATAACTTTTTCTTTAAAGCAACTTGTACCTTCTTTATATCAATTAATTTGTCTCAATTTTCTATATATAAAAGTATTAAGATATAGTTATCAAAAAATGAATAGTTTATGAAATATTTTATATTTTATATCTGAACATGTGAGAATAAAATGTAAAATGTATCATAACCTATCATAAACTATTAGATTTTCTACATTTGTATCTTAACTTTTTTATCCAAAATAACTAAAAGAATCATATTATGTAATAAAAAAATGTATGTACAAAAATGTATGATTTTGTTTAAAAAAATGACTATAAAAAAGTTTTGACGCCATTTGCAAATGAAGAAATATCGTAGCCTTTTTGAAACTCTATAATTTTTGAAATATTTTTCTTTAAAATGCATTGTTCAAAAGATATATGAGATTGTTATTTAAAATGGGACAGCCTGTATGTTCACTTAAATTTCATCAGTTAATCAGTTAATCAGTAAATTTGCTTATATTATAATAACATATCTCTTTTTAGTCGTTATCAACGGCGCGACCACTCATTACGGTGTATACTGACAAGAATGAAGCATCAGGTGATGTGATTTCCCTGCCATCTGTCTTCAAGGCACCGATACGACCTGATATTGTAAATGTCGTTCATCAATTAATTTCTACTAATAGAAGACAACCTTATTGTGTTTCTAAAGAAGCTGGTAAGTATTAATATTGTACATGCATGATTTGATATATATGCTTATGTATCAGGTATATTTGAATAATATTCATATACAAATAACAATTGAGTGCATAAAGTTAAATCTTTCCATTTCACATAGGTCATCAAACTTCGGCGGAATCATGGGGTACCGGACGTGCTGTGGCTCGTATACCTCGTGTACGTGGTGGTGGTACTCATCGTTCTGGTCAAGGTGCCTTCGGTAATATGTGCCGTGGTGGACGTATGTTTGCACCTACCAAGTCATGGCGACGCTGGCATCATCGTGTCAACGTTAACCAGAAACGTTACGCTCTTGTTTCTGCCATTGCTGCTTCTGGTGTCCCTGCACTTGTGCAGTCTAAAGGTCTTTTTTTACACTTTTTTTTTATTAAAGAAAACGAGTATAATTTTTTTAAGAACAATATTTTGGTATTGCATTTTACCAAAAATCAAGTTACGATATTTACATTATTTTTTACATATTTTAATTCGAAACAAGTTTTTTCGTGTTTAGATAATGGAAACTTACATTCTAGCATTTTTGTTCTTGATTTGCTACTAATCAATTATAATAATCCTGATATATTTGTTTTAAGAGTAATTTATGTATTTTATAAGTAAAATGGATAAATTGTAATTAACATTATATTTTTGTATTGTATATAGGACATTTAATTCAGGAAGTTCCGGAATTTCCGCTGGTCGTTTCCAATAAAATCCAAGAATACACGAAAACTAAACAGGCTGTTATTTTCTTGAGACGCATCAAGGCCTGGAATGATATCCAAAAAGTATTTATTTTTAAGTTTAATTTCTTAAAATCTTTAAAATATCCTTTACTATTTTATGTCATATCCTTATGCACCAATGAATGTCCGCATTTTTGCTAAATAAAACTTAGCTCAGATGCTCCTGACAGGTGCTAGAGAAATATGGTATTCAGGCGTTCTTTACTAGTTGATTTGCTTTTATTAGTAAAGGGTATGAATTACCAAATAGTTTCTCTTATATTTTTGATTTATGATTGCTCGTGTGATTTATTTTGTTGATTAATATTATCTTATTTTTTATTTTATCTCTAATTTCATTTTAAAAAATTCTAATGTATGAATAAGTGTTTTATATTTTAACTACAACTTTAATTTTATAATTAATATATAATACACTCACGAATGTTTCTGATTTAAATTATAAGTTTTTTTTAAATATTGAATCAAGTTATTTTTCATTACATCTTTTTTATCTTTCATTAGGTATACAAGTCTCAACGTTTTCGTGCTGGTAAAGGTAAAATGCGTAATCGCCGACGTATTCAGCGACGTGGACCTTTGATTGTATATGGTCATGATCAAGTAAGCAGTTTTTCTTTTTTTAATATATTTAGCAACTTAATTTAGATATTTGAAAAATATTTTAATTTGAAGCCCCCCTCCCTCCCTGAATAGTCACTGGCCATATTAGAATCGTGACATATTAGAATCATGACATATTAGAATCATGATCATAGGTGAGAAATGACACAGGCTGCGTTCTTCATTACGAATACTGATGCTATGACGTCATACAAGTGTACTGTGGGTATCGGGTATCCGTTTTAACTTTATGTACTTTCTGACTGTTGCGAAGTCATAAAACGGAACGCGATACAATACACTTTTACAGTACAATACAGTTTTATTTTTGTTTTACATTTAATCTCTATATACAATAATAGCAATAAAACCGTAATTGCATTAGTTACAAATTTATTAAAAGATGTCATAAATACAAGTAATTCGAAATGTCATAAATACAAGTAATTATATTATGAATATATTTTTAAAAAAATTACAAATCTTAAATGATTAAACACAGACAAGCATTATATTATATTTGTGTTAACTTATAAATTTTATATACATTTTACAAATACGTGTATGATAGAATTAACTTTCAAGATCAAAATTGAATTAATAAATTTTAATTGAAAATAATTCTTATTCGGTCAGCTGGATATGATTATATTTTTTGTGATTTTATATAAGCATAATCAATCAGCAATGTTTACCTTTGATTTACCTTTGTTTACCTGGTCTGTTTATTTAAGTTGCATTTAATATCTGATCGTAAAAAATAACTGATTTTAGCACTTTCAAAATTAATTCATGTTCTATTTTAAAATGTAATCAATTTGCGTAGTAAATTGATATGAAAAATTAGTGATGTGTTCAATGAAATGAAATAAAATAAAAATAAAATTCATAGAATAATGAATTTTTTATCGTAGAATGTTTGATGAATTTAATCTTTGACCGGTGAATATTTTGAAATGGATTATTAATTAATTTTGGAAATGTTAAAAATATGCTACTTTTGACGATTTCAGATAATAAACACAGCTAGATAAACAGATTAAATGTAAATTGTTGATTTATTCCTATATTGTATTGTAGTAATCAAAAATTAACATTTCTTTTATATTTTCATCATAATTTTTTAATAAATTTGTAAATAATCTATATTTATATAATAATTTTTCTTATTTAGACCCATATATTCTGCAGATTTAAAGTTTGACTTATCTTATATACTGACTTTTCGCTAAATTTAATCTTAAAAATTTAATCTTAAAAATTTGTATATGCTCTTATATGCTCTTTCAGCATCTTCTATGCTTACTTTTACATTGTAAGCCTTATTTTCTTCGATGTCGAGCAACGTAATCTCAGTTTTCATGGAAGCAGCCATCTTAACTACTGCGAGTGCTTTACCTCGCTGATCGCAGTAATCGCAACAGAAAGTTACATTAAAATTAGTAACGTCACATACTTCTAACGATACTTTTGCAGTGCACTGCCACTGCCTATATCGGAACATTATCTTTAGTATTGATAGTACTTGCAGTGAATAATAGAACGCAGCCACAGTGAAATTTATGACGGTAATTTTAGACAAATAAAGAGATATTTGACTAAAATAACATCTGATATGGCTTTAGGATACCTGTGAAAATAGGGCAGCTGCTATCCTTTCCCTTCGTGATAGTCAATAAATAGCTGTAAAAGACATGTGAAATGAAGCCTATTCAGGCAGAAAACACGATTTGACAGCTGTTGAAAGAAATGGAAAAAATGCTTTTATATATAATGTCCGATGATAATTTTAGCTGCCGCCCATTTTTACGAATCTGGTAAGTATGAAATACATCATATCTGTACGATTAAGCACATAATAACGAAAATACCGAAAAAAAAATTTCGTTGTTCGCATGTTGTATAAAGATGAACAAGGATATATGAGCTATTTTTCATCGCGACGGTTACGTCGCTACCGTCAGCGCGGTTCTTCACTGAGTACTCACGAATCTTAAATAAATTTATTCACAAATATGCACATATGAATTTAATCATTAAATATATAAATATGAATATTAAATATAAATATAAATATTAATATATATGAATGTGTTTATATATTTAAAAATCGAAGATTTTAA